GGAACACTTTGCTGAGGCCCTGATGCAAACCTGGTGGCACATGAAGCACATCGCCATAGACTTTCATTTTGTTTGGGACTGGGTTCAAGGGGATGAACTGTGCAGTGTCCATATATTACCCCAGCTCGAAAATGCATTGACAAAGCTCAGTGCTGTGTTTTACCTATTTTAGTCCAAGATTGTTGTGTGTGTGTATATATATATATATATATATCCTATTGATAGCTCGTCTTTCAAAAATTCTTGCACAAGTGAGACAATGACTCCTAAACATTAAATGGATCATTCTAGTTCACGTCTATCAAGCCTTGTCTGACATAAGGGGAAAAAAATTCCAATTTATCGAAACTCATGGCAGCCAGAGTGACGTGCTATACTGACTTTTTGGATGTCTTTTAGACCCATAATTATCCAGATTGGGACTACTTAATCTTGAAAATTCAAGTTGATTAAGCCATTCTCGATTTTTAATCATTTTGTGCAGTGGGGTAAAAAGATATTGACTATACAATAATAAACAACATATTAAGGAAAAAAGTATTAAGATTGGACTACATCTCAAAAGGTCAACCTCATTGAGAGTAGCCAAACTTATATGTTCATTTATATTTCAATATATCCTTAACAAAAAGAACCTCAAATTTATCCTTATACTGTTTGAGCATATCCTATACTAAGTATTAATATTGTGTTCCATCCGACACGACGAATAATAATGTTGAATCTCATCCAACTTTGTTTACCAAACATAATAAAAGGAATCTAATATCCATACATTATAAATTTATTGTGATCAAACCCGTCAAATACTACGTACCAATAGTCTTTAATCCTGATCAAATACCTCGAATCCAACATTTCATATTTCAAATAATATAATAGGACAACATGTGTTTCAACAACTAAACTTTTGATTAAAAATAAATAAATAAATATCTATTTCACTTTCAAAACTAAAAGATTATGAACCAAAATGAGTGTCAAAAAAGACTTACTGTTCTGGTTCCTCTTCTTTGGTGATAAATTTCTTCTTCCCTCCTTTCTTGAGCTCATTCTCTCCTTCCCCTGCCAATACCAAAACCATCTCCTTAAAGCAATTATAAGTGTTTTGGTACATACTACATGCTGTATCCAGTACTACATACCAACATTAAGATATATTATTTATTCAATAAAGTTTGTTACAAACCTATTGCAGAAATTCTGAACTGGGTTTTCCTAGTTTTTGATGCGAACGAAGGTTGAGGTTGAAAAGAGGAAGAAAATAGTTTAGTGGAAAGTGGGCTGAGAGGAGAAGATATGACCAATTTTGCTGCCATTTTTGCAGAATTAATCTGTTAGGCTTTGAAAGAATTATAGTGATGATGTATTTAAAACGTTATCTCAAGAATCAAAGGATCTCTGATGACAAGTGGCTGTCCAATTGGCCCATTACTCCTGTCCAAGAGTTATTATTGAATTATCTGTTTATTTTTCTCTTTTTTTAATAATTAAACTGTATTTAGAGTTACTTACCATTGATTTTGTGTGGGAATAATGTTGTGTGTATATTCGAGCCTAATAAAATAATTCTGACTCCACCGTCATGTGTGTGGAATGTCATTCAAGGTGTCAATATGAATGTAAACATAACAGATCTTTTCCGTGTGATTTTGGACTTGAGAAGTGACATGCTTTAGCAATGAGTACTAATCAGATGCTAGAATTATTATCAAAGCTACCTATGATCTACTTTCGAATATGATTAATTTAACAAAATGGTGATAGAGTTTCTTCTGTAAAATGGGCTAAATCTACTTGAAAAGCAATACAAAAAATTTTTAAACACGTTATTACTTATTTGATTTAAACAAAAATTACATTACTAATAGATTTTAATAAAAAAATAATATCCAGCACCATTGATATTAAACAATAGTCTAAGTGTCAGCATATCATATTTCTTATTAAATGGGACATAATTCCCTTAATTTAATTGAATCTGTAATTTAATATAACTAGTATTGCCAACTAGATCGATGTTAAATATTATGGTGCTAACTAGTATTACTCTTTGATAAAAGTTGATGGAATTCAAAAGTTTTGAAATCCATAGTGTTTGGTTAAAATTAAATGTTAATTTTGACATAAATTTTAATCAATTTTTGTGGTTGGCCCAAACATGATCTATGATATAAAGTGGAGGAAAATTAACATATAACCAAGGAAAATAATAATTCATGAAATGCTGCATGATAATTTATATACTGTATGTACCGATATTATACAGAAATAATCCAAAATTACGGATTGAATCTCTTTATTTTTTTATTTTTTGTAATTGGAACACTTCAATAGCTAGTGACACGCCAACAATTAATGACGTCCAAAATTACTATCATTAATCGTTTTGTAGCTGAAACTTGTGATGGCTTACATTACGCCATTCGTTTAGCTCTGTATGACAATCCTTATTTTGGTAAAATAAAGTTTTGAATAGTAACTTTCTAGAGAATACATAGAAGGTATTCGAGAGCCATTTTAGTGTATATATGTATTTTGGAATAGTAAATTGATAGAAAATATGTCGTTAAAAAATAAGGAAAAGCTTCTGATTTACGTGTAATATTATTTTAATGAAGAATGTGTGGTTGAAAAGAAGAGAGAAAAATACATTTTGAAAAAAAATGAATACGAAATGGGGCCCTAGTTAAAAAGTTGAAAAAAATAAATTTGCGTGTAAAATATTTTATTATATGAATGTATAATTGAAAATGAGTATATAATGAAAAAGTTGAAATAATAGTTGTCGAACAGGGGTTAATGTAATTGCAGGATATAAGAAAATTCAAATTTAAATTCAAATAATATATGCTGCTACGATGAGGAAAAGTAATTTAGTCCTCCGAATCAGAGATCAAATCCCGTTCTTCACTGTGAAAGCTCCAATCTTCTTCCTCATGCCAGGATATATACAGCCCAGATTCAAGAATTATGCTGGACAAGAAAGCTAAAAAGCTAAAGAGGCAGACATGAAGGGTCTATGAATCAATGGCTTTGCTATTAAAAGAATAAATATTTCGAAGGAAATAGCTACAAATGGAAGAAGAGAAGCAAGCAAGCAAATCATATACTCCCAATCACCTGTATACAAAGTGATCACTCATAAGAAGAGAACCCCCAAAATAGGATCAATAATATTTGGACATTCCGATAGTTGTAAAATTTCTAGTGGCTAAGGGTTGAGTCTCATCTGATTATCTTGGAGAAAAGAGGTAATACGTCTGCAATGAGTTATGTCGACTTAGAGTTTGTCGTTGATGAGGCATTAGGTTACGCTCTTAACACCTCAAAATCGAAGGTGATCGAAGCAATGGTGGATGGTCTCAGCGCCTTGGACGTGAAGGTGGAAGAGGTAACACTCCTATTGCTGCTTGCCTCGGAGAATAGTTTCCTGCGTGGTATTTTGCTTAAAAGGCCTAACAAATGTCACATTGATTAAACTAAAGCGTGTGCCTAATTAAAGAAAAGCAATTAGGTTTTCGACTCTCCACGTAATGAAAGTTAAGAAATAATACAGTATAGCTTCGATAAATTTATGCAATAAATTTATAATCGCACTTAAACAATAACATCTCCGAGCCATTAGGGGTAGAGCCAGGATTTATGTTCAGTGCGGGCATCATTTTTCGACGCCGAACTTCGAGGTTTTGGTCATAGATTTAATAATGATAAAAAAAAGTAAAACAATATTAGAACAATACTAAAAACGACATAATTTATATATTAAACTTGTTCCTTGCGAGTTTTCATATTTTGATATCATCGTACAACAACTTCATTATCAAGTTTCAAAAATATATCTTTCTCTACATAAACAATTGTACTATCATTCATCCACTGATCACCCATCCGATTGCGCAATGTATCCTTTACGATACTCATTGCAGAAAAGACTCTCTCCACAGTAGCAGTAGCAACCGGTAAAATCAATGTCAAAGTCAAAAGTCTGTAAACCAATGGATATACCCTATCTTTCTTTGTCAGAGCTAACTTCTTCGCAAGATCACCAAGGTCATTCAACCCTTCAAACTCTTTGTTAGAACACATGTCAAAAATATAAGTCTCAAATTGATCGTTAAGTACAATGACATCTACTACAGAGAAATCTAATGGATAAAGCTCAGCAAGTCTAATCAAGCTTTTCTTGTCAAAAGAAGAAAATAAATCTTGTGGACATAAACAAGCTACACAAAGGAGTAACTCTATATTTACCTCCAAGAAACAATCATTCAATTCTTGAAGTTGTAAATCGATGACAAAATAGAACAAATCTACTCGGTAATGATGTAAATTTGTAATTTCTGGAGAATTACGCTGAGGGCGACCACGAAGTGCAAGGCGTACAAACATATCATCCATGTTGGGTATATGAATGTAATGTTGTTGACAAAAAGAACATACTTCTTCCAAAAATGAGTCTCACCCTTCGTATCTCATTATTTGAAGTCATCGTTTGCACAATCTCACCAATTGCATTTGGAGTCATCGTTTGCACAATCTCACCAATTGCATTGCATTCACAATATCTTGATCTTTCCTTTGCAATGCCTTTGACAGTTCATTTGACATCCCCAAGACATTTCTCATCAATTGTAGATTAAATACAAAATCAAATTTTTGTATTGACTCTAGTAAATTTGTTGCATCAGATCTTTGATCACAAGAACAAAATTCATCTTCAACAATCATTGCAAGTACATCAAAAACAGAAGAGAACATGGCAAGCAAGCTGACCAAAGAATTATAATGTGAACTCAATCGTGTATCACCAGAGTGCTGAAGGGTCATTTCTTGAATAAGTTCCCGTCCACTTAAAATTTCACATTTTTCCAATGCCTCAACAATAAAATCTAA